CTATCTGCTAGCCATTATAATAATAATAATAATAATAATAATAATAATAATAATAATAATAATAAATGGAGGTTAGTTTAAAATCCGTCTAATTGTCTGAGTGCTTTTGTTTTTGCTCTGCAGACTTTTCAGCAAATCATTGGATGATATTTCCAATAATAACTCCAATGTTGTAATAAACAACAAACCTTTCATTATTAAAAAGGAACCCATGTAAAGATCCTTAAATCTCAACTGAAAGATTTGCCCTGACTTTAATTCCCATTCAGAGTCATACTCACTTAAGAAGTTGTTCTAATTCTCGCTTTATCTTCTTCACTATGGGCGGACCCTGGTAGGTCAAAGCTGTGTAAAGCTGAACTAGTGAGGCACCAGCGCGGATCTTATCCATAGCATCCTGCCCACTGGCCACACCACCGATTCCGACAATTGGTACTTTACCTACAAAAAAAATATTACAAGTGTATTTTATATGCACTGGCTTGATAAAAGTGGACAGAAAACACAGGTGTGTAAATACGTACCTTTAGTGAGGTTGTACATCTCTCTCACAGTCTTAGTAGAGAGGTCTTTGAGAGGCTGGCCGCTTAACCCACCAACCTCAGACTTATGTGGATCCTGAAGAGTTTCTGGTCTGGAAATTGTGGTGTTAGACACCATTAAACCATCCACTCCCAGCTGAAAACATAGAATGTATGAAAAAGGACAGGAAGTGAGCAATGTATGTGTCTATGTCAGGAGGAGAGCTGATGTATGTACAGTATGTATGCATGTGGCACACAGACCTCTAATGTGAAATGTACTGTGACAAAAAAAAAGTGCTGTTTAAATTGGGCTTTCTTTGTCCTCCTTGATGTCTCTTCCATTAAGGTTTGTCTCCTGCTCGCTCCAGTAAATAGAAATACCACTCTGTATTTTCTTTAAAAAACACACAACCTACTGAAGTGGTGATTAGGTTAACAGAGAGGAGGAGAGGAGCCAGATGTTTTTAAATGGTCCCAGTTAGCAGTGTGTGGTTAAACAATGTTCTGCTGAGGTGGAAAATTGTCAAGCCAATTGTAATAGTAAGTAAAAACAGTCAGCTGAAGTAAGGAGCAGCAAATAACAATTGTGACTTACTTAATAATGTTGAAAAGCTCACCAGTCCCCTTTGACTGAAGACATCCGACACATGGTGAAGCCAACCTTACATTTAATCACTAAACAACTACAGGTCTCACTTTACTGATATATGTTATATATATATATTTCTTATTTACCATAGGATTGTTGTGCAAAGCAAAGATGTAACTAAAGTTATATTAGGTAACAGTTTTATCATTGTAGTTGCATTGGATTGTATAGCAGCCATTTTGAGGATCTAAGAAGAATCTGGAACACTTTTTAAATAAATTACAAAAGATTTATCACAAGGATTGCCTTTTATACCCTCTACACTTGATTACACTTTTTTAAATCTTATTTTAATTAATTCCCTGTACTTCTATTTAATTGTAGTGCTCTTTTTCACCTTTTAAAGCAAAACAACAAATGCTGTATATTTAAAGTTTATTATAATTTTTTAGTTAGTAGTACCTAAAGGGTGATTTAAGTGATGCCAAAGTTCAATTGTTTGAACCGAGTCTCATTTATCTGACCAGCGACGCAACTGTCATTCAAACAAGAAGGTGGCTGCACCCTGGTAACGGGTGTGTGCAGTTTGCATACGAGCATCTGACAAGGGTAACTCTACTGTCGCCTCAGGAAAGGACCTGAACTTGAGTTCTGGTTTCTCTAGCAAAGAGTTTGTATGATTTTCCATGATTTTCCCTGTATTCTTCAGAAGGGACACTTCAAAAACACTACAGATTCAAGATTTAATTCCATAAAAGCAGAATGTGCGCTTTTTCTTTTGATATTTAGCCAGATTGCCAAAAAAAATTATTCCTTCAAAGTCAAACAATCCCATCAGGCAATATATTAAAGAGAATTTAATAATAAAATTTGAAAGGGATGAAAATAAATTAGAGCATAATGAAATTAAATAAAGAACAAGCAAGAAAATAAAATCAAAAGGCACAAATAGGAAATGAAACGACTGCAAAAAATAACTTTCTACCTCAGTGACAACATCCGCAATGTCTTGTTTGTCCTGTGCAGTGAGGTCAGGAGCGATTTTCACCAGGACTGGAGGTTTGCATTCTCCCTGCAGGGCATCTCGCTCCTTCAACACCTGAGCAGATTGTATGAGAGTGTGAGTACATCAGGTGAGGGGGCAGAGAGAGCTACAACTACTGGAAACTGCACAGAAAGACCACTGTACTGGATGATGGTGAACAAATGACAAAATAATACAGAATAGTTACTTCATTTCAGAAGCTAATATTTGACATGACATGTACCTGGGGATGGGGTAACATTTCCTTTGGAATTCCTTACCGAATCTTTTTAGGTAGTGTGTTTGGTGGGGATATGTCCTGTTTTTATTTCACGCAGTATCATACCTAAACCTCGGGTATTCTACTCTGCTGAAAGGATGCAGGGCTTTCATCACATATTTTGTCACTGCTCTTTGACATTCATTAACCCCGTCCTGACTCATTCTTCCCTTCGCTGCGAGGGCATTTGCTCCTCGCTGACGGTGGGCTGTAAAAACAACACAGTGGAGATAATATAAATTCTACTTCATCACTAAGAAAATATCCACTAAATAATTTTTCTGCATGTGTGACGTTACCTGAAGGTGAATTTAGCGTTTGGTGGATCAATTTAACAGAAAATTGTCAGTTCAAAGCAAGAATAGAAGAATTTTCCCCCCTTTTCAGGGTTTCCGAGGGAGTTCTTTCATTCTTTCTGATTTGGTTCCCTAATTTTGCCAAGCTTGTTATGTTCCTTTAAGATGTTATTTTAATCGAGAATCAAGTATTTTGGAGGTTGTGGGGAAATATAACATTCTTACTGCAATTTGTGGAAGCAACGTTTCACAAAAGAATTTTAAAATAAGGGACACGTGAATAGACCTTGTAACTGGCTGTTAAACCTGGGTTACAGTCATTCAAATCACAGTGGCCACATCACATCTTGTATAAAACCTAATCACCTGAATAAAGCTTTGTACTTTGCCTGAGACAGCTCTCTGTGACTGCTGACGGTAATTGTACAGAAGTATAGGTATAAGTATAGTGTAGAAATCTCTCTTTATTCCAGAAAATTCCACAACAGCTGGCTATTTTCTTTCAAATTACTTTGAAGAATTATTTATACTTAAGATCAACTGTATATGACAATGGACTTTCTTTCACTTGTAATTTAAAAGGCCAGTTCAGTCACTTTTGAGGGGTAAAGGCTGAGCAATGAAGCCAGGTGACGATTGTATGTATTTTTGTCACTTCTGGGTCTCTGGGTAATTCATGAACATTCGGACAGTCCTACCGTTTGTAGGAGCTGGTGGAGCTCAGCCTTCCCCTGTAGATTCCGGAGACCTGGTGTATTAGGACTGCTGACGTTGACCACCAGGTAGTCTGCCAGCGGGCCCAGCACTCTCACCCCTTCTAAGTAATCTGCCCCTGCGTCCTGGGACAGCTTGTTCTTCCCCAGGTTGATGCCCAGGGGAAGGCCAGCTATAAACACAGACACACACACACACACACACACACACACACACATATGCAAAAACACATACAAACACATGAACAGGAAGGTTCAGACAAGCACAAACACAGGATGCATCATCAGACACATGACTCAACTGGGGCAGAGGCTGCTGATGTGCTAAATGAGCTGTAAGCAGGTATGGATCAGACACAATAAAACAAGGACAGGTCAAATCATTAAAATAAAATAGAACAGAATAAGTAGAGCAGTAAATAATAAATGCACAACAAAAAAAAAGAGGACAGATTTATATCAGACCTATTGTAGTAATAAAACTGAAAGCAACACCAATTTTAGAAAAATTAAAGGTTGAAATTGAAATTAATTATCCACAGAACCTGCTAACCTTTAGTTTGCTGTTCCTGTGTGCCTCCCCTGGTCTTCAGCCTCTGTTGTGCTTCGGCCAAACCACAGCTGTTGAATCCATATCTGGTGAGAAACACACAGAGATAAAGATATCAGAGGCTACTCAAAAACAAACTGAAAAATAATTCTTTTTTTACCACCTTTTACACTTTTTTTTTAGTCATAATGATGAAATACTGATGTAAACATGTTGATAAACTGAATAAATTTCCCTTTTAGGGCTAAAAATTAGTGTTGGGGGATATACTGGATGAACAGGTAAACTAGTTTTAATTTCTCATTAAAATTGTTTACATTCTCAGGTCAAGAAAACCCTATAGTAATCAAAGCCTTTAGTAAATACATAATGACATTAAAATGTTCTCATATTTTATGTAGTCCTGACATTATAAACCATTATAAACTAACCACTATAAACCAAAATAAAAGCCCATTCACACAAACGTGATATACCATTATAAACGCCAGAATACATAGCGCCCAAAATATGTTGAACTTTTGCTGTTGTTAAGGAACGTAGTTATGAGCAAGTGGATTCTATATGATTGTGGCTCCATGAATTCTCTCCCATACAGCCAAAGGTGGAACCCAAAGTGACATCCAAGATGCCGGATTATTTAAATATCATGTTGTCTTTGCATTACACGTTTGCTTTAGTGCTTTCATATATACTAATTACCACTTTATAAATGATATCTAACTTTAAAACTTTCATCCTTAGAATGAACCTAATATATAAAAACATCTATAGAATGTGGAATAATTTAAAACATTGTTCAAGCTTTCCTTCATTTAGCTCATTCAAAGTCTGTGTTGCAAATTAAAACAGCAAAGAAAATAAGCGAAACCTGTTAAACCCTGCAGGCGCATTATCATTTTGCACATACTTGCACATACTGAGCAATATGAAAGAGAACATTATACAGTAACATCACCACCTCCTGCTCCTTTTTTTCCAGTCTCAAGGATTATAACATACACTAAGAGTAATGTGGCTCCTTTATGGTTATATAAATTGAATGAATCCTTTGTGAGATGCAACTGAAAAGTCAGGCGTTAAGATACGAAAAATCGTTGATAAAAAAGTAATAAATTGCTACTATAAAGCTGAAAACTGTCTATTCAACCTTACCTGTTAATAATTGCCTGATCTGTAGTGAGTCGAAACACACGTGGTTTGGGGTTCCCCTCCTGAGGTTTGGGAGTGATTGTGCCCACTTCAACAAAGCCAAAACCCACTTTGTACAACCCGTCTACAGCCTCTCCGTGCTTGTCGAAGCCTGCGGCAATCCCAATAGGGTTTTTGAACTTTAATCCCAGGACGTTGACTTCCTGTAGACACAGAAAGTCTTTAAACAGTGTTTAGGATCAATGGGAAATATCTCTGAGCTGAAAGTAAATTTACACCTAATTACCAATGATGCAGGGTCCTGGTAACGGTTCAGAGGAACCAGACCCAGACCAATCATCTTCACTGCCAACACATGCGCCGTCTCTGCCCCCACAATCCTCTGCAGAAGGGGCATCAGCTGGTTGGCATAGAAACGCTCATCTCCAACCGCAGTGAGGTAGGAGGCAAACAGGAGGCTTCCTGAGCTGATGACCTTCACTGCATCTTTTAATTGCTTCTGTTGACAAGAGCATGAAAAATGACAAGACTGTGTTTACAAAAGGGACTCACGTCAGACATTAATTAATGTGGATATACTAGTAATAGGTCAATGACAGGATTTGTAACGTTTCCACAACAACTTGAGTTTGTATGCAGTTTTTTTTTTTTTTTTTAAATATCAGGTTAATATCTAGAGAGGTTGTTTGGAGCATACTGAAAAACAAACCACATGGCCATTACACACCACATTGTGCATGCAACACCAGAAAGGCTAATGGGACACCAATGGAACTGAGCCATTGTTAACGCTAATTACTTACACCTGTGCTTTTCCTGCTCTGACTAGTCAAAAAGTCTGCTGCGGAAACGGTCCACTGGAGGGACTTCGTTGGTGTCTGTTGTGCTTCAAGTTGAAGGAGTTCAAACAGTCGTTTTTCACAGCAGCCATTTTGACATGAAATGGTGGAGTAAACGCGGTTGTTACCAGTGATACCAATTAATACCCCGTTTTCATTCAGTTCAGACAGGTCATGTCAGTCAGGATGCTGCAACTGTTGGCTCGCTGGAAAGAATCTGCTACACTAAATCTGTGTTACAGGTCGGAAAACTTTCTCTAATGGATGATAAAGTACTCCGTAGAGCTTAAAGGGAGCTATAGTGTTATTTCTCTGTGGGTTCATTCTTTCTTTCAAAGAGGTGTAATCATTCAGAATAATTGCAGACACCTGCATGGACGGAACAAGGATGGACTTCAAAGATTATAAGATTGAGTCATTTACATGATAATAGTGGAATTCTATCCACCAAAGCATAATCAGTGGACATTTAAATGCGCTTGGTGAATTGACACGGTTTGATGATGATTATGTGATGTGTAATATAACTCAGGAAAGTGGCATTTAAATGATACGCTGATGAAGCAAGTCTGTCACTGATGTTAAAAGAATACCTTTCAATCAACTTTCCCTGCAGATATCTGCCTTACAGCACATACTCACAAGCAATCAGCAAACTTCTACATCAAAGCAGAAACATACACAGATTATGTAAGTAATATAAAGACTAATGGAGTTTAGAGAGTTGAAAAATGGTAAAAACAGTGTTTGTTATTAAGATTTTGAGGGAGGCAGTTGTATCTTAATTAATCTTAAGCTTAGTCACGTGAATGCCTCAAAACACACAGGAAAAGCCAAACAAAGTAGAAAACCTGCTAGCTGTGAAAGTACTTAGACCCCTTTAATTAACTTAAAGCAATAGTACCACAGTGTAGAAGTACTCTAGTTAAAAGTTCCTACATTTGAAACTCTACTCGAGTGAAGTATTACCAGCAAAATATAGAAACTTAATGTATATAAGTACACACATGCAAAATGGCCCAGAGCATTACGTTATGGAGACTTCAAGGTGTCAAAAGATTAAAAGTACAAGTTATTATTGTGTGAAATAAGATAGAAATGATTTTCCTCCTGTTAGTTTTGTTGCATGACAATTTACAAATGTATCACATTTGTACACAATGACCTCCCCTAAATCCCTGCACTGCACTGCACTGCAAACAGCTGTGTGGGTATGTGGGGCGCCTCATGCATCAGATTTAATAAGTTGATCATATGTTTTGTATGCAGAAATCAAAGTAACTAGTAACTGTAGCAGTCAAATACATGTAATGAAATGAAAAAGTACAATATCTACATTTGAAATGTATTAGACTGTAAGTACAAAGTATCACAAACTGTCCATCATCTTCACTGACTCAATACTATCAGCTGGTGTCTTGATACGTGTTTAGAGCTCATATACACTGTCAATGGTTTACAGGTAATCTTTGGAGGAGACTACAGTGACTTAAGTTACTGCTTTCTGTGTAATAGCTGAAACCTTAGCATACTCCTGAACACATGGATTAAAATCATCTGTTTTGTGTAGTATTTTTTTTAAAATAACCGTGCCGATTATCAAAGGGAAAGTAAAGCTGATCGCACAGACAACACCAGTGCATGTGTTTCTGTGTCCACATAAGACACAGCAAAGCTAACCTGGAGTGCTTCCTGGTTTAACCTCACATATGCTGTCAATGGGCTCGATCGAAGAGAAAACACACGGTTCTTGGCGACGTTTTAAATCATCTCATTCTGAAACAACAACCCCAAAAACATATGAGCTTGTCTCTGAAAATACCTTCAGATGTCCCGCCATGGATGCAGTACTGTCATTGCATTAAAGGGCACTGAAAGCGTTTCCTAACATGTTACACAAACACACGCGGTTACCGCTTCCTACACATCTTCTCGCGATATTTCCCTGCTCCCTTGCTGTGGAAGGTAGATGGAGAAGGAGAGATGTTGCCCATTCAATTATGTAGAAGTGCTTCTCAAGAGGCTATATGAGTGCAGTGAATATTTAGTGTGATTTCATTTGAGAATAAGATATCTATTTTTAAAGAAACCATCATTATAATACATATATGATAATAATATACTGTATTTTTTTCATGATAACTGAAAGTAAAATGGAGTCTTTGGTCAGTTGAAGGAAGCCTCAGTATGACTTTCAGTGATACCAAGTGACTCCTTCACACTTTGCATCTTGTTTGAGTGTCTGCAGTGATTTTCCTAATCTATTGAGAACATATGCAGAGTTTTTCTAGAGAAAGCTCCCTAATTTCCATGTGACAGACGGAAGTGATCTTGCTCAGATGCTTTTCCTGCCACAGTTCCTGCAGCACTATGTGATTTAGCTGCGTTTTCAATAACCATGGACATGTTTTTCCGAAACGCTGTCTTTTTGTGGATTTCAGTAGGATTTCTATCTTTACCGGAAAAGTCTGAGGCCTGTCGCAGCAATGATCTCCCCGTGCACTGTGAATTTGTTTTCAGAAATGTCTGTTTTGAGTTGGGTGGGGGATCCAAAACCTGGTCCCAAGCCAGGAGCAGCTGTGAGGAGCGAGGAGGGGAACTCCTGAAGGCGATGAACACCCCAATCAAAATCCTATTGAAGAACATCACCAGAGAGAGAAACATCGACAATTTCACCTGGTGGCTGGGGGAGAGGGTCCCAGGGAAGTACCGGGGACCTGCCAAAAGTGAGTGAAATATATACACAGCATCTCTTTTATAGGTTTCTGTGTTTTGGCTTGTTATGCCTAAAATCAATTGTACCTCTCAGACTTGTGGTGGACAGTTCAAGAAAAAAAAATAAAAACTTTCTTTTCAGGTTGGTTGATTTGATTAAAACCAGTGACTAGAAGTTATTCTGTATTTCAAAGAGAAAATGGCAAACATGGGAAAAATTACTTCAAGTGATGATGATGAGCCAAAGGGCGGTTCCCAACTTTCTTAGGACCAACACAATCTGAGTTTCAGTATTTTTGGATACTTTCCTTTGTGGAGTATAAATGTTTAAAAAAAACATTTGATTTCATCTAACAATATAAGACACACTTCTCAAAGGCACCAGTACATGCATGTACAAGAGCTTTACCGGCATACAGTATGAAAGTGAACAAAATGTTTTTAAATCAGGAAATACCCCTAAATAACCCTAACTATATGAAAGTTTTTGGGTTTTATGTCACTACAACATTCAAACTTTCCAACTTTCTAAGTAGCATACACTGGTTATCTTGTCACATAAACAAAAATGTCCATACATAGAAAATGACTGGACAACAATTGTGATAATTGATAATATCAGGTCAAAGTCATTTGTCAAATATGCCAAAAAAATTCTCTGCTTCCAGCTTTGTTTAAACTGTTATGATTTGGCGCTATAAAAATAACATTGAATTGAATTAAAACATGAGGATTTGCTGCATTTGTCTCTATTATATAATTTCAATTTAATATGCTTTGGGTTTAGATTATTTGTTACACAAAACAAGTAATTTGAAAACTTTATACTGGACTGGATAACTTGATGTGATGGTTTATTTTTCACTATTTTTTTTTTTTACATTTTATGGACTAATTTATCAGTCCTAAAAATAATAAACAGATTAATCAATAGTTGCAGCCCTGATGGTTGTTGTTCTCATTGGGTTTAGGGTAATGCTATTGTAGCTGATGTCCCAAAACGTAAGCTCTCCTAATGGTGTGTGTGTGTTTATGCGCAGAAAATGTTGACGTTTCAAAGGGCAACTGCATATACGTGAAGCTGAATCCTCTTCAGCTCATCGTAACATCTGACTGCAACGAGAGACGAGGCTTCTTTTGCACCCACAGTATGTAAAAACAGCTTTTTTCCCTCCTTTCTGTCTTCCTTCCTTCCTCTCGCATTCATAACAACTGAGTAAATTGTAGTACTTATTATTACTTTATTGTTTAATTTCACTTTACATTTTTATATGGTATTTGTCAAAAGTGCCATTCTTTGTTTTACAGATTTGTGGTCTTCATCAAACACAAAGGTAAGAGATACATTTTACAGTGATTAAGACCATATAAACATCCAGACTGAATTGTCATGTTAGTTTTGTGTATGTTTTCTTTGCAGAAGACAATAGTGTCCAGTCATGCAACCAGATCCCGTAAGTTAAACTGCAGCATTATGTGTCTCATCATGTCAATCTCCAATGAAAGTGAAGAACAGAAGTGGATTTGTGGATTGTGGATTTGCCTCTCTTTCTTTCTCTTCTTCTCAAACCCACTTTTATTTCAGGGCTCAAAAGGTCTGTAGAGGACATGAATCAGAATGTTGGAAACATTGGCCAACTTCTCCAGGTGAGAGACTGTTTGACCCACGGATCTTGAGGGCTATTGAACAGTGCAGTAAATGTCCTTTTGTTAATTATACCTCAGAATTCACAAGTGCTATTTTTCTGAGACAGAAAGCAGATGAAGAACTACGGCGAATGGAAATGACAGAAGGGGAGCCGACAAATGACAACAGAGTGGGTACCTTCTCTTTGGAAAGCCTGTGGGAATAATTCTATTATTGCACTGGTGGTGATTGCCCCCGCCCCTGGTGCCCCCATGTTGGAAAAGTGTAACTGTAAAAGTGCCCTCTTGGATTCTCCCATGGTAGATAAAACATGATAACGTGTCCTTTAAGGTGGACCGATGTGCAGGAAAAGATGCCCTCTAGGGCGCCCTTCCAGTGGAGAAAACGTGATGAAGTGCCAGATAGACTGGATTGGCTAAGAGGGCCTCTACATGGTTAAATAGTTCCCTGTATATTTTTATTACAGAGGTGTAGTAGTTGTACTTTAAATCTGAGTTAAATAATAAAACAATTTTCAAGATAATGCATCACAACTTTCTGTGTGCTGGTACCACACCGCATGCAGCTGATGCGATGAGTTCACCACTGCAGTAATGCAATTGTCTGCTGTCTGTTTTTGCCTTTCACAGGACAAATTCATTAAGTATTTGCTTGCGGGCACCAAAAAAATGGATCCAGTATTTGCTTTGCAAAACAATGACACAATCAGTCACATCCTCAGTTGTAGCAGTGCCATCCTCCTTCTCTCAATGACAAAGTGTGACATCAAGGCTAACCCAAACCCCACGGTAAGCTCAAAAGAATGTGTGACTGTGGCTGTTAAAGCAATCATACACATTTAGTCGCCATTACAGTCAGGTGACATTGCATTTTTCCCCTCCTTTTCAGAGTTTGTTTGAGAATGTGTTTGAGATCTTTCGGGCGGTCGCCGAGCTGGTGGGATCGGCAACCACAGAGACGCTTATTTTCAAGCACCCAACAGGCATAGTCTATCAGAAGAGGTTGGTTTCAGATTAACACTTTTGTAACTTATCGTTCATATTTAACCATATAACTATCTCAGCAAAAACAGTAGATATAAAAACTGCTATACAGTATATTCTAAATTTTATTTACTTCTCCCCAGTTCCAAACCTGCTGACCTCGATAATGGTGTGCTCGGTTCAGAGAAAGACGGTACATTCATCAAACTCCCCTCATTTTCAGCACTTAAATCTCAGCTTGGAGGGCACAGCACAGTCATCGCTCAGGTGTGCGCCAGTTATTATCATATTTATGTATTTGCATCTTTGTTGTCATCTACAGCATTTTTAACTTAGCTTTTCTCCTTCTTAGATGTCTACATTCTCATCGAATCCCCATCCATCTGACGACAACATCTCAGGAACTGTTTGCAGCCTTGTAATCAGTGATGGCGCCTCAGACATAAAGCTGTCCAACCTGACAGAACCGATAGAGGTACACTCATTAAATAGTCTATCTATCTCACCTTCTTTCAGATCAAATTTATATTTCTTTTTTGAGCCTTTTCATGAAATATTAACTATGTTTGCTCACTGTAGTATATACAATCCTATAAAAATATTTTATTCGCGTTTCACTTATCCTTACAGAGCTTTTTTGGATACAGGGGAAAATACCTATTCTTAACTGTGCAGCTAAAGATCTTTATTTTATCTATAATAATTAACATATATGTATGTAAGTTTGATTTTAATGGTAATACAAACTTTCTTTCTGTGGTTTCTCCAGATCTTTTTGTCTCGCCCAAATGCTACAACACTGACTAACAGTACTGCTGAATTGGAGAAAAACACTCAAGTGCTGAGCACAATCAGAGTCGCAGACCCCAATATGACCATCTTCTTCAGCGTGGAGCCTAACGCCAATGTGTCACTGGTTCTTGCAATGTCTCATGAGTCACCTCCCAATAGCACAAATATCAACATCACAACCATATTAAGCCAAACGGGTAATTGTCACTACCAACAGGCACCAATCTATTGCTTCATATCCTAACCTCTGATTTATGTCATTTTAAAGTTACTGGGTTTAGAAATTACTGTAACACTGCGTAGCAATATGTCCAGTGTGATCAGAGTAGGAGTAATAACACAAAATAGTAACACACACCTATTTACCATGATGTATGTGCTCCCACTTCTCTCATGTATTAGTATATCAGATAGATGTTTTTTTTTTTTTATGAAAAAAAAATTATGAAATCATATGTTAGCTGATTTTTGCAACAGGAGGATATCGCTGGATGATAACCCCAGAGATGTTACAATGGACTCCTGGAGACTGGTATATTGACATCAGACTCTTCAATTCCACTTGGGAGCCAGGCCTGACACTGAAGATCAGTTCGTTCACCACCAAGTGCTTGTACTGGCACACAGAGATGGAGACATGGAACACTGACGGCTGCCAGGTGACTTTCAACCTGGATAAAGTCTGATAAACATGGTTGTATGATTGCTTTGTGTCTGCATGGGCAGTAATGTTCTACTAACACCAATAGTTGCATATCAGACAATGATTTGCTCTCTTTCAGGTGGGAGAGAAAACC